TATAACCTGCGTTAGCACCATGCCATCCCTGGGACTCCATCCCTCACCCACCTTACGTGTCCAGCCCCAGGCTGCCAGGAGAGGCAGAGCCACGTGCTCTGGCTCCGATCGCCACCCTGTGCCCCAGAGGTGTCCCCGGGGTGGGGACAGCAGCACCCAGGGACAGCCCGTACCTGCCTCCGAGCTCACGATGAGGCGGCTCTCAGCTTCCAGCTGCAACTCCTTCAGCCTCTCATCCTCTTTCTCCATCTCTCGCACTCGGGCTTTGATGGCCTCCAGCTCCTGAAACCCAAACCAAGGCTTGCGTGAGCAGCACACGGAGCAGGGACGCCCCAACCCCGCTCCCCACCCTGGGCTGGGATGTTGCAGTGCTGCACAGCACGCACCTCCACCAGCAGTGCCTTCCCAGGCCGGGGACAAGGGTGGGCTGGCTGCTGGGGACAACAGCCTGTACCACAAAAGGGGAGTTCAGCTCCAACCTCCACTGGGGAGGAAGAACAAGGAAACGTTTCCTTTCCCGTGCTTGCCTGCGAAGCAGCGTGTGCTGCAGCAGAGAGGCCCCAGCAGCACCAGAGCTGCCAGAGGGAACCGGAGATTTAAGCTGGTGACAAACAGGAGCCATTTACTCTCGCTCAGCCAGGCAGACATCTCAGCAGTGAACGCTAAGCAGCAGGAGAGTGACAATTCAATTTCCAGCTTCCCAGCTCAGGGATTTTAACATCAGGGCCCCAAGATTATTCTTATTCTTAATTTTTAGAAGCGCTTGAAGAGCAGTGTAGAAAGTTTCCCATTTCCTTAGAGAAACAGGGAAAATTGATTCCACACTCAGCCAGGCACTCACTGGGTCCGGCACAGCCAGCTCCTCCGCCCTGTCCCTCTCCAGATGGCTCAGGTCCGAGTTGTCGTCTGCAGCCTTCCGCAGAGCTGCCATCTCTGTCACGTCCCAGGACGCCTCCACCGCTGCCAGGGACGGCGGGTCCTGCCACCAGATCCCTGAAGTGTCCAGGAAGAGAGGACTGGGCGGGAACAGGGGCAAAAAGCCATTTAACAAACAAACAGCCATTTAACATAGAACCTAAAGCAGAACGCCAGCCAGGCAGAGGCTCCAAGGGTGCTTCCAGCAGAAGGATGAACAGGTGCCGCCAAAGCAGTTTGCTCTTGGTGCTGCAGGCGAGCTCGCGGCAGGACCCCAGAACTGCAGGAGCGAGGGCTACTGAAAGGTCTCCAGTTCATACCGAGCCACTTCCCAGCTCAGGGGGCTGCAGAGGAGACCTGGAAGCAGCTTCCCTTGGGTGAAAGAAACAGGCGCAAGCATCACAGCCCGCCGGCAGGGAAGGGGAAGAGGAGGCAGGACCTGCTCCACCAGCAGAGCTCCCCGGCTGCACAGAGGGAGCGGGAGGGAGCCCTGCCTCACCCAAGCAAAGGCAAGCGCGCAGCTTTTCAGCCCCGGACTCTGGGCTCGAGCCCACAGAGGGACAAACTCTCCCACCCATCAGCGAGAAGCTGACCCCGCTCCAGCCTGGGGAGCCTCAGCGCCTGGCACCGAGCTGAGCCCCGTCCCGCTCCCCCCGCCCCG